GGGGGGGGACGACGCCGTCCTTGGTTTTTTTGCCTTGTTGCTTTGTTTCCTGTTCCTGAGAGCGCGTTTTCCTCATCAGCCGGACTCTTCCCAGTGGTTCCCAGTGACAGGACGAGGGGCAACGGGCACAAGCTGGGCCATGGGAAGTTCCACTCCAATGTGAGGAAGAACTTGTTTGGGGTGAGGGTGGCAGAGCCCTGGGACAGGCTGCCCAGGGAGGGTGTGGAGTCCCCTTCTCTGGAGACCTTCAAGCCCCACCTGGATGCTCCTGAGTGATGTGCTCTGGGCAGCCCTGCTTTGGCAGGGGAGTTGGGCTGGATGGGCTCTAGAAGGTCCCTTCCAACTCCCAACAGTTCCATGATTCCATGATTAGTGCCCGTTTTGTAAAGAAAAATTCAATTTTTCAGCTGTGAAAGATTGAATCTCTCATGTTTTGCTCCTTTCTGTCGCTGACTTTGCTAAATAAAAGGGCATCAGAGCATCACAGCTTGAAAGCTTTTAAAAATGATAGCCAAAACCTTTTTTTTTTTTTTAACCTATTATAAGCTTCTATTTCTGACTCAGTCGCATGTAAGATTTCTAGTCGTTGTTTCCATTTTTCAGTTGTTTACACTTTTTTGGTTGTTGGCCACTATGCTGGTAGACCAAGGGGGTTAGGTAACCACAGGCAGGATGGCTCCCTTAAGGGCTAATGAAATGAGTTGGCAGGTCTTTCTTGGTCCATCTCAGGTCTTGGTCCATCTTGTGTCCCTGGGGCACCCGCTCCAGGTGTCGGGAGCAGAGGGAAGCAGGGGACGGAAGGGGCCAGAGTGGCCCTGCCCTCCCCCAGGACGGGATGGAGCATGGCCTGGGTGGCCCTGCAGGGCGTTTCCTGGGTTCTTCTGAGAGAAGAAGACGGTGCTTTCATAGAATCATAGAATCATTGAGGTTGGAAGAGACCCTTGGGATCATTGAGTCCAACCATCTCCCCTACTCTACAAAGTCCTCCCCTACACCATGTCCCTCAGCACTGCATCTAAACGTCCCTTAAACACATCCAGGGACGGTGACTCCACCCCCTCCCTGGGCAGCCTGTTCCAATGCCCGACCACTCTTTCAGTGAAAAATTCCTTCCTAATGTTCAGTCTAAACCTCCCCTGTTGGAGCTTGAAGCCGTTCCCTCTCGTTCTATTGTTAATTACCTGTGAGAAGAGACCAGCACCAACCTCTCTACAGTGTCCTTTCAAGTAGTTGTAGAGAGTGATGAGAGTAGAGAGTTTGTTGCATTTTGAAATGCTGACTCTGTTTTCTCCGGAAATGCCCTCGGTGGTTTTGACTCCCATTGCAGATAACAGCTTCACAGCTCCCCTTTTCATGGACACAGCTCCCTTCCATGTGTTTCTCCTGCTGGCTCCCGGATGAGGACTTAACTGAGGGGAAAATCCCTCTGGGTCGATGCTCCTTTATGGCAGTACATACTGTCGGGGGAATTTCAGTGAAGATGGGGTTTGTCTTTTTTTTGTTATTATTTTTTTTTTAGTCAAGGTAGCTTGCTGCCAGCACACAGAGAAGGGATGGGACTAGCAAAATGGTATTTTGTGAATATGTAAAGGCTGCAGCTCGAGAGATCACATCAGTGCTGTCCCCATGCCTGCTTGGAGGGAGTCACATCACATTTCATAGAATCACAGAATGGTTTGGGTTGGAAGGGACCTTAAAGATCATGGAGTTCCACCCCCCTGCCCTGGGCAGGGACACCTCCCACCAGACCAGGTTGCTCAAGGCCCATCCAGCCTGGCCTTGAACCCCTCCAGGGATGGGGCAGCCACAGCTTCTCTGGGCAACCTGTTCCAGTGTCTCACCACCCTCATAGTAAAAAATTTCTTCCTGAGATCTAATCTGAATCTTTTTTCTTCCAATTTAAAACTGTTTCCCCTTGTCCTATCATTACACCTCCTGGCAAAGAGTCCCTCCCCAGCTCTTCTATAGGCACCCTTCAGGTATTGAAAGGCCACTATAAGGTCTCCCCGGAGCCTTCTCTTCTCCAGGCTGAACATTCCAGGCTGAATTTCTCCTGATTTGAAGCCTGAGCTCCCCTCATTCTGCCAGCTTGGCTGTGCAACAACAAAGATACCACTAGTTAAGCAAGGAGATGGCGAATATTAACCCAGGCAGGACCATGGGGACTTCCTGGGTTACTAGGGCCTGTCATCGGGCCTGCTGCCCTGTCTTCACTGTGACTCTGGACTAGATAAATCAGAGCTAAAACAGTTATCCTTTCTCTGCTCCTGTTTCATTTTTCTCATCCCTAAAGGCATGGTGTAGGTGACACACCAGTAGAAGACCCTTCTGAGCTTTCTGGAGGCCTGTGGGGGATTGCCTTCCTTTACTAAAAACATAAATTTAAGAGAGTCTGCGGATTTCTATTATACCTTCTAAATGTGGACAAAGACATGGACTAAAGAATAAAAAGGCAAATTAATTTAAAAAAAAAAAAGCTAAATAAGTTCAGGAACCTGGAGCTTGTTTCATAGTAGGGTGAATTTCTGGGGAGGGGTGTTTCCCCATCTCATAACACTACTGCAGTGCTGCTGCGCAACAGCTACAAGTGAGTGCTCCTTCAAGCTGTGGTTCTGGGTTTGTTTTGTGGTTTTGTTTGGGTTTTTTTTTAAAATGTGTAATATCCCCCCAGCTGCTTCAGTTTTAGAAGGGTCTCTTGTCAGTGGTGTTACCTCGCTGTCCAGTTTGCTGGGTTTTTTTATTTATTTAGAGAAAAAAAATAAAGCAGCCTAGCCTGTGCCTTGCAGGAGATCTGTTAAGGATTAGCACCGAGCTGATGGGAGGAGGGCGATAGTTGCCATCATCACTTTGAGATGGGATGTGTCTCTCCTGCATTCCCAAGAGAAGCTTCTGGTAGCAATGTCCACAGCAAACAGTACAGTGTTTCCCTCTTTCTTCCCTTCAGAACTAGGGTGGCAGAACACGGAAGAACCTCAGGATGTCTGTAATTCAGCAAGGGACGGCGACGCTTCGTAAAGCAAAGAAAGTCACTGTAAAGACATGTTTGGATAACCCCTTTGTTTTTCAGTGGAAAACTATAGATGGAGAAGATATGCATTTTATACTGCAGACTTTAGAAGAAAGGCTTAAACATACTGGACTTAAAAAGATTGAGACGCCAAGAAAGAAAAAACGTTCCCTTACAAAAAAACAAATGGAAAGAAAGCGTGATGCCAGCACCACTGAACTCCCTAAAGAGGAAACAGGAGGCGATCGCCAGAAAGCGGGATGGACTGACATAAGTATCAGAAGGCAGCTTGCTATTGGAGTTAACGAAGTTACAAAAGCCTTGGAAAAAAATGAACTGCTTCTCTTGCTGGTGTGCAAGTCTGCAAAGCCTGCCATGGTCACATCACACCTGATCCAGCTGAGCGCCAGCCGAGCCACGCCAGCAGGGCAGGTTCCCCGGCTCAGCCAAACGCTGGCACCGCTGCTCGGCTTAACGTCCATTTTAGCACTGGGCTTCAAAAAGCAGTCTGACAAATTCACTGAAGCAATAGAAGCAATAATCCCAAAGATACCAGCTTTGGAAGTGCCGTGGTTTCAGTACAGAACTGAAGAATCTGTGGGTGACGCGCATACGGATTCTTCAGAAAACGAGGAGCTGGATGAGATCGCAAGCCAGAAGCGGAAGCGTACGGAAAGCAGTCAGCTCGATCTTTCAAATGTAATTTTGCAGCCTTTGAAAATCAAGAAACTTGTTCCAAACCCAAATAAGATAAAGAAACCCCCTCGCAAAAAGAAGAAAGCTTTTTCTGTATAACTGATTTTAGTTTGGCTCTTCAAAAATCAGTTTAATGAATGCCGTATGGAGTGCAGCTAACTGAGCTAATTTTGTTAGGCTTTACAGTGTAAAACACTTGACTACAAGGCAAACTTTATGTTGCATTCAGGTACTTTCTCCTTTAATAAAGAATATTGCTCAAACTTGGATGTGAGTCCTTACCTGGGAATAGGTATTTGCAGTTGGAGATCAGAGTTGCAGTTGGTAACGAGTATGCTGAAGTCATTTAAGACATAGTAAGTACATCTTTGGAACAGTACAAAGCGTTAAACAAACTTTGTATTTCTGTACAGATGAACATTCTTCAAGAAAAATGGATGTGAATGAAGTATAATTATTCAAACAAATCAATACCGAAAGTTTTGGCAAGGTTCATGCCAGTATAACTCTCTTTGAAGCTGATTCAGTGCTTGTTTCAAGTAAACAGCTGTAACAGCGAGGGTGGTTCCCTTTTAAACTTTCATAGCTTGCTCTGCTGAACAATAGGCTTGTTTTGGTCAATAATGTTTGCAGGGTCGGGTTCCCTCTAATACCTCATGTCCAATATGCTGAAGGAAAAACTATTAAAGTATAGAACAAGACCAAATTACTACTGCTGCATTTTGAAAAAGGACTTCTGTATGCAAACTGTTAATGCATATCCCATGAGAAAATGTAAACAACCTAAACTCAATTTGATTTGTAAATGGAGTCTGAAATTATTTCCTACGAAACCGAGGGAAGCCGCGTTCTGGTGTATATAGAATAGATGACAGCTGTAACCACTACAGGACTGAGAAAATACCATGAAACTTTTGAATTTCCTTTAATTTTACCAAGGACTACAAATAGTTTCTTAATGAGAGAATTGTATTGTAGGAAGGAAAGGGAATAGTGCTGCAATTCAAATCCAACAGCCTAGGAGTTGGCGCTCGATATTTTAAATGAAAGCCAGTACAGTGCTGTAGAAGAAAGTGTAAAATGTTTTAACTGAGTTGCTCTGTTGTTCCTTAAAGATTGAAAACTACAACATGTAAATTCAGAAATTTGCTAATCCAGACTGTGAGTGCCATGAGATGGCTAAACTGTATTTTCGATTTATTTAGGCGGGACCTTAGTTCATGATACCAACTACGAAGGGAGGTGGTAGCAACGGTTCTGTAATCGTGATGCTCCCTAAAGTTTAAAAAAAAACTTAAGGCATTTTCTGTCAAAAATTTTGCCCTCCCTGGCTGAGGGTGGCAAGAAGAGGTGAGGGTTTCTTTGCCTTGCTTCATAGTCCTTCATGCACGTCCTTTGCTTTGGCTTTTTGGGTACATAAGCTTTGCAGGCATGCTAGAACTACTGTATTTAATCACATGCTGGCTAACTCTAACATTTAAGCCTTAGCGCTTTGCAGGCATGCTAGAACTACTGTATTTCATTCCCACGCTGGCTAACTCTAACATTTAAGTCTTTAAGCAGAGCATGAGAATTAGCTTTGGTAAAGAACGTAAGCACAGCAATCGTCTTTCAAGCACTTTGCTGCTTGCCCAGGTCCACAGCTCTTTCCAGGCTTTTGTGTCCCCTCCGCAGGTAGGAAGTTACTCTGGGGAAGAAGTTAGGGCAGATGTTTCAAAAGAGGAGTGGGAATGGTGATGGAGCCAGCCTTAAGTTTGCCAACCTTTGTGAAGCCATCTGTGAGGTTTCTGAGGAGTCTTACCTGGTGGCTGTTCGTAGCCCACACCACGACAAAGCCTAGCGCAGGGACAGGAGGCTCAACTCGGGAAGTAACCAAAGAGCCTCTCCTGATGAGCTGCCCACTGGCTCCACACAGATCATGCCCTGCCATGAAGCCCCTGGGCAGCAAGAGCAAGCCACCACTATTTCCATCTCCTGAGCAACTCCCCTCCTGCCTGGGTGCAGGCTGGGACACCGTCGAGAGTCACATCCTCTCGCTTCAGCAAAGCCCTTGAGGCGAGGAGCACAGCTAGTCAGAAGGTCTGGGCACTCACCGGGGACAGGAGGGACCCCGCTGGGTTGCACAGCTCTTGGGGAACACACGGAGGCTCCAGGAACTGCCCCACCACTGGGGCTCAGATGCCCACTCCCCTCACGCTGCCTGGCCTGGAAAGTTTTGTGTCTCAGCTACAGTGTGCTCAGCTTCTACAGCAGCACAGCTCTGCCCTCCTTCCCCTCCACGAGCGTGCTGTATGAGCCACAAAACAAGATGGACAAGTCTACCCCCTGGACTCAGAAGCAAATGGCACTGTTTCCCCAGAAGACAGCCCAGGAGTGGCCACACTCCTCCTTTCACGCACAATTACCCCAAGACCAGGGGGGACAGCTGGGCTGCAGGAAAACCAGGTTTCAAGTCTGTCTATCTCCTCCCTGCACATACTTGGTCCCATCGTGTGGCCTCAATGCTTTTCCAAGCAGTAGTACTGGGAAGGATCTGCCTTCTGATTTTGGAGAAGAGAGGAGAAAAGAAAACGTCTGCCCCCCCCCCCCATTTTATAGAATCATAGAATCAGGCCAAAGGCCATCTAGTCCGACCCCCCCGCAGTCAGCAGGGACACCCCCAACTAGACCAGGTTGCCCAGGGCCTCGTCGAGCCTCTCCTTGAATATCTCCAGGGAAGGGGCCTCAACCACCTCCCTGGGCAACCTGTTCCAGTGCTCCACCACCCTCACAGTGAAGAACCCTCTCCTCATCTCCAGTCTAAATCTGTTCCCCTCCAGCTTGAAGCCATTTCCCCTCGTCCTGTCACTGCAGGCCTTTCCAAACAGGCTCTCCCCAGCCTTCCTGTAGGCCCCTCAGGTACTGGAAGGCTGCTATTAGGTCTCCCCGGAGCCTCCTCTTCTCCAGGCTGAACAACCCCAGCTCCCTCTTCCACTTGGATTTCTGTGAGGGGAGGGAAGGCAGAGAGCATTCCCCTGGCACTGCAGACCACCCATCCCCCTTAGGGAGGGCTGGGCCACCATCACTCCTGGGCAGGGAAGCCCCTCAGCCCCGAGGACAGAGGGAGGCCCTGGTGTCAGGCAGCAGCTCCCTGAGGGTGCCGGGGCTCTGCCTGCAGAGCTGAAGCAGAAGGCACTGAGCCCCTTGGGGACTCCTCTCAGCCCAGCCACGAAGGCACCTTCCAGCCTTTTGGGAGTCAAGATCTTAAGTCTTTGATGAATTAAGGAATTGAGATTAAATCCCTCTTGTTACCTCAGGTATCACTACCCTGGATTGCTTCTTCAGGCCTCCCATGGGGAGTCCCTCTGCACCATCTCCTTCAACTGCTCCGGGCAGAGAGGTGTCAGGGGGCTGAAGCTGTAAAGCCCGACACCACCATGCAATGTCTGAAAGATCCCCTTTAAAGCCCTCAAATTCATGAGGTCCTGAGCTGATGCACACCCAGGGGTCAGACAAACCACGGTCAGTCCCTTCCTTTGTCTGAAGGAGGCCGAGTGCTTTCATGGCAGAGCTATAATGCAGTAAGGGAACGGTGGAATTACAGGGTGGTTAGAGTTGGAAGGGACCTTAGGTATTTATCGCTGTCTCTCAGGCAGAATCCCCTCACCACAATCCAACAGGAACAAGAAACCAAACCAAAAACCATTCCCACTTTGGAAAAGGAGTGGGAAGAAAGAAAAACCCCGCTGCTACAAGGAGGGGGGGTAGGGCTGGCAGTTATGAAGAACAGACAAATTTATCTTCGTCTAAATTGATGTTTTCAGGTACAGAATTCAACTTCCAGCAAAATCTGCCATCAGAATTACAGGCATGTTTAGAAGGAAAGTTTAGACATTTGCATTTCATGAGACATTCAAGTCACATTCAAAAGGTACTCACAGCACAGAGGCTTCGCTACCACAGTTTGGCACTTTCAGCTAGAACAGTTTCTTACTGCAGGTTTTCTCGTGTTCCTGCAGCATCCGTGAGCTGAAAGAACTGCTCTCCTCTCTAGCTGGGACGCGTGTCCAGTGCTTCAGAAGCCTCTCTGGTTGCTGAGCATTCAGGAGGGAATTAAACCAGCTCCCCCCCCGACAGCAAAGACCAGCCCCCCTACACTTCAGGAAGCGCAGAACAGAGACTGCCAAGGACTTGAGGGTAGAGCATTTCTCTTTTGCTTACCAGCCACATATATATATAGCAAAACCTCTTGTTCCAAAGTCAGGTTAAAAAACACTACCTGGAACAATTTATGAATACTTATTTACACAAGATACTTTTCATTAGAATTACAGACTTCATAGGAAATCAAAGTAGACAAAGGAATATGTGCAATTTCGCAGAAGCGTTGAAAACATTCAAACTATAAATATCCTGATAGCACTACTAAAATTCTTAGTTTTACACACAGGCTGATGTTATTCTACTGAGGAAAAACTAAGGTTTTGTGCCACAACTGTAAATTAAGTACAGTAACGTATTATCATTCCAGCAACATAGATAACACCTGCACTGAACAGTGCGATGCTGTTAAATCAATCCACTGATCTATTGAAGATCAAAGTACAAATCTGTATTTTTATTGATTTGGCAGCGTTGCTTATGGAGAAACAAATGCACTAGTTAAACCAGTACATTGTCATACTGCTCCAGTTACAAAAACACCCAGGACTTTCATAGAGCTACAAACGTATCATACTTCATGATTTTCCCCCAAATGATGATATCCACGTGAAGTAAATAAGCAAAGATACTCAAGTTTGTATCCTTCATTCTGTTACACTGACAAACATACACCACCACTTAATAAATAGAAATGCAGCAGTTCGTCCACATAATAGCAAATATTTTTGTACCCTAATCCACCACTGAAGTTCAGTTTGTACAAAACAGTCTTTTCTACAGAGTGGGAAAAAAATACCTTCTTCTCATCAAGGTGCAAGCTAAGCTTTGAAACTTAAATGAATGTGCTTTTATTCTTTTCATGGACAATAAAAGAGTTTCATGGACCTTCTGATCTATCTGAAAATGCATAAATTTGGTCACATATGGATGTCTTCACTGTTCAGGTTTAATGGACTATTTCAGTATCACTGACGTTGTGCTTTTACTCCTCTTGAACAATACCATTCCAAGAGTTATGGAGATCAAATTAACTCAAACGATGACCTCAGAGTTCTAGAAACATAAATGTCCTCATTGTAATACAAGACCAACCTAAAGGAAGCAGAAAAATACAGTATTT